CCATGTATAAACAATAATTACNCGACGTATGAACTGGGCCTTAAGCAAATATTGTCTTTCTAAAATAAATTATGGCCTTTGAGAACATGGTGCAAGTGAAACTGCTTGAAATGTGATCAAGTGCTTCAAAAAGAGATGTTTTAAAAGTTGCTGTACCTCCAAAGTACTAAATATTTGCCAACTGTTGAAAGAAAGCAATCAGAAACTCTTCAAAACAATTACCACACTTGCCATCCTCTATATATCCTTAACTATCACTTTAAGGTGAAAGAATTGTCAGTATCATCACTATATAATTAACAGCAAGTTCCCCAAAATAAATACTGAACAATCCAAAAATAGTTTTTTTAATAGGCTTTTTTTTTAAATTAGAGAGACATGACAATTAAATAAACATCTTTTTACACATGGCAGAAATAATAAATTTATACCGACTATTTTTTTTCAGTTCCACCGACAATCGATCCAATGACAGACATAATAGCAAATGCTGGTGATAAAGTGGACTTGGAATGCGTTGCCGCAGGAGTGCCAACTCCTAATGTGGAATGGTACTATGGTGGAAGTTACTACACTGGACAAAAGGTAATCTTTAAAGAATATGACCGTAAGAAAGTTCATATCTAAGCCGTGATGCAGGCACAATGATACCCAGTAGTTACTTCATGTGCAACAAGCTGAGCCATTGCAGGCTAAAAACTAAATGTACAGTGATAATAATTGACTTCTCCTTTGTGCTATTTTGTTCTTAGCTAATTTTCAAACCTTTTCTCTTCACAGGATCAGATCCAACGCGGTGAAAAGAGAGTTCGACAAATATCATTTGCAAATGTCAACTTGGTAAACACTGGAGAATACACTTGCCAGGCAAGAAATGGTGCCCTTGATGGAAATGGTGATGTTATCGAGGTTAAGAAAACAATTAACCTCTTTGTGAGATGTAAGTTTCCTAATACACTCCATGCACTTTGTTATAATTCATAACTGGAAAAATATCTGCATGCACACGGCTTGAAAGAGCTACAGTTGATAAAAGTATGACTTTTGTTACTTTCAGATAAGCCAAGATACTTAGCAATTAGACTATGAGCCTTTCTATGAGAGAGTAGTCAATGAGGTGTACACTGAGATGACTATCGCTCCTAGAAATCTAGAGTACAGTCTAATTGTTTTAGTATAGACATTTTTAAGGATTATGTACAGCATACAACCTACAATTTTGTTTTTTAGCTTAAAATTACGAACAATTTTCAGTTTCAAGAACAGCGTGTGCAATCGTTGTTTATTAGCCAATAGAACACAGTGAAAGAACCAATCAGATTCACGAATTTACAATATTTAGCAGACAGCTGAGTGGCTGCTAAACAGAGTTAGAAAATGGCACTGCTTGGGCTACCTCAAACTTTCAAATTCAACTCAATTTTGTCTCCTGTTTCTGTCAGATTTTTTGGAAACAAGCACCCATTTCCTATTCCTTTTCTAAAAATTAAAATTAAATTATGTAAACTGTTTTTGTGTTACTTTCATTTAGGTTATGATTGTAAAGACTCAGTCTGCTGAGTTGGACTGTCTTTCAATAAGAAATAAAGACCTCATTCATTCATTCAAAATCAGACCAACAGAACTTGATATCTCATGATCTGTGATTATGCAGCCTCATGTGAAGCAACTAAATCTACACAACCAATTTACAAGAACACAACCTAAATAGACCCAGAGATGATGTCATTTATCGGCTGAAAACTATTTCAATTTAAGAGCAACACAAATATCTTTTAAAGGAGTAGAGAATATAATCTGATATGTCCGGCTGAAAAAACAAAACATTTTTCCAATTAATATGTTAAAAAGCCCATTTCCACTTTTCTGACAGTTGTTCACTAAATGTTACATTAAATGCTCATGCATTTAGAGAGTGTGTAGTTTTAACTTCTTACAATGCAGTGCCAACCTAACGTTGCAGGTCACAAAAGCTAAAAGTACAGACATGAAAATGACATTGAGAAATTCTTACAGTCTATTTTTCACAATTTATGGGTGCTAAAAAGTTGTGTACAAAACAGTGTGCTCTCTCAAGTAGAAAATAAATTGAACATACAGTGTATATTGTTCAGACTGTCACACATGCAATGTGCCTATGTTTCACATCTTTTGGTAAAAATCAACCAACCAAAAAAAATTCCCCACATTTTTCAGAAATTATTCATGTTAATGTTGTCATGATTTCATTGAGTATTAAATGCTTTTAACATTAATGTTATATTTACAGCTATTTATTTCATCTTTCAGCTCCACCCCAGATTAATGAGGAAGCATCCCCTACGCCAGTATACTCTTTTGTGGGAAACAGGAAATCTGTTGATGTCACATGTACCTTTTTTGGATACCCAGTGCCAACAGTGATCATGAGAGATGAAAATGGTACCGAGATTGCACAAGGAAACAGCACAGTATCCTATACCATCAGTTATACAACCAAAGATGACTTTGGAACATTTAACTGTACTGCAGAGAGCCCAGATGGCATGGCACAATATTTGGTTGAGTTACGAAAAGCAGGTACACATATATGTATAGTTAGGAAACAGTTTTCAGTGATTTGTCTGGATTTTGGCTCAGAACATTGATAAAAAATACGACAATGAAGTCTATTGAAAGGATGACCAAAAAAATTTAAAAAGGCTGTCAGGCTTTTCTATTCCTTGTCCATGCATATGTAACTCAATTATAGCATTTCCTTGATAGCTTCAGTGACTACATGTAGACCATTATTTCTAGGTTAATTTCTATCAATTAAAATGTCTTTTGGGTTTTCACTTTTTGAAGTCATTTTTATCATAGTGCTCCTTAATGCATACAAGTTGACACTAACCAGTGGTGGTGGCCTGGGGTCAAGCTCTAACTGGGGTCGTCAAGTCACATCCCTTGACATGACACTTAATGTTTCTCTCACAGTGCGTCTTGCAACCTAGGATTAAAAAACCATACTGAGTGTCATTGTCTCTAATACTGCGCTTGCTTATTCGGGCAATCTTTTCACAACCTTTGTGGGAGACAGTAGCGTAATGATTAGAGTGCAGAGTCCCAGATCACGTCGGCCTAAGGTTTGAGGGTCGACCAGGTGCCAGCCACAGACTTCTCCTTTGACTTTCACAATGGTACCTTCTTTATTCCAAGATGGACAAACTTAGCTTCCCATCCACAGTAACATTTTTTATTTTTATTTATTTTTTTTAACTTTATTGGGAATGTAGTAAAAAAGAAAACTAAAAAGAAAGAAATGGCAAAGTGTCCAAGATGACTTTATATTTGGCAATATCCAATATCCATGCATATTTTATAATTTTTATATGGCATACTGTCCAAGATCAATTAAGTCCAAATTTGCAATACAGATTGCTGCAATGGACCACCAATGAATCAGTTTTGGCAAATAGTTTTTCAAAACAAGTTTGCACAAAGGAAAACAGTTTCTGGTTAATTAGAAGACTTTTTTCCTTCATATTTCACAAAAAGTTTCATTTTTTTTATTGTTTAACTTTCACGTAAATAAAACCTTAACTTTTAAAAGTGCATGTACTGATCTACAATGTCAATATGATAAACTTGCAAAAACAAAACATCTCAACCAATATTTCCTTAAAATACGAACCTCATTCTAGTTCCTTATTCTAGTTTTTTTACCATTCTAACATTATTATAGACTGACCTTATTCTTACAAATTTTTGTGCATACTCATCTTGCAAAAAATTCGGGAGCTGTATTTCATGAGTATAATTTTTGTGATATTCCAGGAAAAAGCTGTACACAAGTAGATTTAATTTTGCAGTTTTGCCATTGCTTTAATCTTCAAATCCTGATCCAAGGACCCTGTTTCACTAAAAGGATCCTACAAATGGAAAGTTTGATAACTATTCTAAAGAGGTTTTGGCAGATTTGCAAGATGAAGAAAGCAGTTAATCGGAGGGAGAGTGCTAACTAGTTAAAAACAAGACCATATCAAAAACTGCACATTTTCAAGAACAGGAATTGAACGGTTATCAATCAGTCTGTGACTCAAAACATTTAAAATCCATGCATTCTTTTCTTCCATAATCTGGTATTAAATTTCACACTTGATTTTTTGCAGCCTCTTTTTTTGGGGGACTACTGGTAGTTTTTGTGATTTTTTCCAAAAGGCCAAAAAATTGTGAAATTTAGCACATGGGAAATGAATATTGGTAAGAAATAAGGTATACTCAGTATGTAGAGGGGGTAAGTTACAGTGGCTAAAGGACTGTCGGATATGACTTCAAAATATGCAACTACTGCTTGTGAATGAGTTTTACTAATTGCTGACAGCTAACTTTGTTTTTAGTGCCGCCTGGGCCACCCCGTGATGTGACTACAAACAAGACTTGTAAAGAAATCACTCTTATGTGGAAGCGTCCATTCGATAATGGTGGCATGGAAATTGCCAGTTATATCATAACAGTACTTTCTGAGGGTAACAAACTGTACACAGAAAATGTTGGTGGATTTACAGTTGAACATAACATTGGCTACAGCTTTACCCCAAAGACAAAATATGAAATACGAGTCCAGGCACGCAATGAAGTTGGACCTGGAGCTGAAGAGCAATTGTTTGTAGAAACTGATGAGTTCTGTGAGTACTTGTTTCTTAACTTATGGTAATAAGACTTCCAGAAGTTCATATACAGTGGCATAAGAATTCTTGTGTTACACTCTGGATTCAGTGGTTTTGATTGCGATCTGGCCAAGGTCTGGTGAAAGACACAGTGTCTGGTGTCTTCTCACACAAGCCATAGGGGCTCTCTCCATGGCCACCCAGCAGTATAATTAAGTCAACAGGCATATTGTCGGTCCAATCTGAAACCTAGTGAGACAATCTCATATAGTGCAGAGTGCAATGTCTGGCTCTGACCTAGTGGGGGGGGGGGGNGGGGAGGGAGGGTGTGCCGTTCTCTGATGAACTACGCTACCAACTATCTATTCTGTGATAGACAGTGAGTAGCATAACAGTGTGCCCTTGTTAAAAAAAAATGACAGCTGCTTCCTGGCATTTTTGAAGTGTCTGTGAAGAGGATTTAGATGAAGTTTTGAACGAGTAGTAGGTTTATACTAAAACAATTAGATTATTCGCTCTTGATTTCTATGCGTGATAGAAATCTCGTACTCATAGTCGAATTGCTTAATAGAAACACAAGTGGAAATTTGGGAGAACGAGAAATGCTGTGGGAACATGAGCCACAGGCAAGTGTTTCCACAGCTTTTTCGATTTCTCCCAAACTTTCACGAGTGTTTTTGTAACTTGATAGAAACACAGAGAACATGTTTTCTATTTCTTTTAGAAAACACTGCAACAAAAAAAAGGAAAACAGCCTGTTAACTTTGATTATCAAAACATAAATTCTCTTTGCTCCCGCCATCATTACGTCAACAACTCGAGCTAGTTCTGTGTTTCTATCGAGTTATAGAAACACACTTTTTAACCAATCAGCGCACATATTTTCTTAGGACTGTTTTCTAATTGAAATTGATGAATTAAACAAACATTAAAGTTTATGCCTTAGCACCATAGGGCCTTAGCACTTAGTGTCTTCGTGCATCAGCGTCTTACCGCATTAGTGATTTAGCAGATGGCAGCCCCCTAAACCATCCCAATAGTGGACTCTGCACGTAAAAAGCTGGGGAGCAACCTGCAATAGACAAGCAGTTGAGGGTGGGAGAAGCATACAAAATACTGCCAGTTTCTTCATTCTATTGAGGAAGAAGATAAGTGCCAGCCTGCTAAGTCATCTATGCTTGTAAAGAGTTTAATTAGAAAGTCCTCGAGAAATACAAAAACTAAATTCTGCAAAAGTAATTGCAAAAATGCTTATATTTAGTTTGTTTTGATCGTCAAATGGCTTAGACCTAGTTAATATTTTCCAGTACTGTGGTGATCTAGATCTGATGAAAGAATGTCAGCATATTCACATTTTTTACACACAGCACTTTGGAGATCTATGTACTGCAGTTTTGTGTGGAACAAACCTGAGAGTAGTTTATGAACTGATGTTAAAAAATCATCTTCAATAGGTGTGCCTGGAAAACCACGTATCACCAACACAGAGCTTGAGGTTGATGTTGAGGACTTCATTGTAACGTGGTCTGCACCACTGTACAATGGGGGTGATGATAACTTAAAGTACAGACTGGAATGGAGGATGAAACCAATTACAGACGACACTGAAGAAGGCATAGAAGATAACATTGCTGAGACCCAGTTCAAGATAACTGGCCTTGAGCATAGTGAAGAGTATGAGGTCAAACTCTTCAGCATCAACCAACAAGGACTCAGTGAGGCTGATATCAAGACTTTCAAAACAAAGCCCAATCCTGGTGAGTACTATTGTGATTTTATTCCCCACTATAAACATGCAGTGGAACCCGGCATTGCAGTCCCCTAGTTAATACGATAAAATTTTCATGGCCTGTTGTTGACCAAATTAACAGGGTTTCACTGTACCACCATGGTTATGTAGAACTAAATGTCTTCATAATAAAACACAAAGTTTAAAAAAAAATTATAAAGTAGAATTTAAAACAAATGAGAAGTCGCATTGTTCCAGAAAAATAGAATCCATACCATCCACAGTGTTAGTGAGGACAAATATTCCGGTTTAGCTTCTTATTTTACCTTTAAAGCTTTGATGTTTGAGACACCTAACACCCTCAAAATGTCCTATGACTCTTCATGAGGTTGTGGGTATGGATGTATTTCTCTGTTACTAACTGGACATTTTAAATCCAAAAATTCTTGAGAGATCTCAAGCATTTTTGGTGTTGAAAATCATTTTTCAGCAGGCAATGGAGTTGCTGTAGCAACTGCATAGAAGCAAAATATTGTAATTTCCTTTTACAGAAAAAGAAAATATAATTGCAATTACCTTTTATAGAAAAGGAAAATATTGTAATTTTCTTTTACAGAAAAACGAAAATATAATTATAATTTCCTTTTACAGAGAAGGAAAATATTGAAATTTCAAGGTAGTGCTCTGGTTGCATTGTCTCATGGGTCCAATGGTCAGTAAGGATTTCAGTGACAAAGCAAACTACAGTCAAAACAGCAGAAAAGAAGTAACTAAATACTTATATTGATTTAAAATCATTTTGACTGAATTTACTTAACATCAACACTTCTGGTTCAAAAGCTACAACCTTCAGGTGGAATTAATGTTACTAGAGCACTGCCTTGCAACTATAACATTATGTCCTTAGGTTACAATTTATTGCCCAATACAGTAAAATTGATAATAATTATTAGTACATTTCTTGTAAAAGCTGAGATTTCTTGCTTAATATTTTATTGAAAACTAACTGTAAACACTAACAAATTTACTAACCACTCATTGTCATATTAACTAACTCATTTGCTAGTAACAAGAGTTTTTTTATACTTCATTTAATCTGACTGACTGCATTTTTGTACACATTATCCTATCAACAAATAAAAGCCATCTTGATCAATGATCAATCTAGTGCAAAACTTTGAATAACTTTAAGCAACAAAAATAACAGTTGATGATAGTACAAGTTTGTAATTAAATGTACATCTAATAATAGTTAATGTAGAATGTACATGTAGTTAAATAAATATTATATAATCATGTCAAACACAAACAGAAAAATATTAATTACTAAAATTCATAGTCACTATGACAGTTAAAGTAAATGTGTATGTATCAAGGTTTATTTTAGCCTTGGTTATTTCACATTTATTAAAAATGTTATTTTTGGAATTTTAAATTTCAAAAACACTAGCACAATTAAGTTAAAGTTAATACATGTAATAATGAGTTTTGGACAATATTCTCCTGCTAAAATACAGTTCTAAAATATAATTTTTTTACATTGTTTTATTTTTGCACTTTTACAATTCTGGCAGCTAACACCACAAGTCCATCTAAATGTAAGTGATGTGAGGTACAGTGTTAAAGTTTTATTTTTAATTCCAGGCATTTAAATCGACTAACTTTTAAAAAGAATATTTTTTTTCAGATTCCATGTTTTTGTTGTTGTTGTTGTTGTTGTTTTTTCAAACTAAACAGATAAATGCAAACTCACTTGGATCATGGTATATCAAAGGAACTTAACAATCCACCATAGGAAAGGATTCTTTGATTCCTTTGACACATCCATTTTTGGATTTGAGAATCTAATCTTGGATTCTCCCAAAGAATCGCCATTAGATTCCTTTAAAGTAAAACTCTACTGTGTTGAATTACGTTATATTATTGATATCTTAAATCTGAAATAACCTGTTAGTCACTTTAAAATGATGAATAAAGAAAACTTAAAAATTACACTTAAGCATGCACAACACAGCAATTAAAGAATATAATTACCTAAAAATATGCCAGTTTCTTTTTTTTTTTTTGTAAAACCTTTAGTAAACCGTATGTATCTCATGGCACAATGAACGGTATTTTAAACACTACACTAAACTAAAAAATAGTTGAAATATATAAATATATAAATATACACAACTTTAAACTAGAAATCCTGGCACAGTATTAAGTTTAAACACTGAGAAGTTAAATAATAATAATAATAATAATAATAATAATAATAATAATAATGGCATTTCGGGCAGTATATCCACAGGGTGGCTCTTCGCCTGCCCGATGCTAACTAAATTTACAATTGTAAAAAGATTAAAAGATATCTAAGAATTTATATCTATATGTAAACGAGATAAAATTGTGTCAAAAAAAATAAACGTACGCTAAAAGTCTGTCCAATTCTCTACTGTTTGAAAGTTGCTTGTCTTTTTTCTTTACTATGTCTATTCTAATCGGTATCTGTTGTGCAGCTTGTTTTGAATTCTTAATGGAGATGTCACTTTCTGGTCATTAACTTTATGCGTGAGGCAGTAACCATTATTTCTCATGGAAAGATTGCAGTCCCGTGGTTCTAATAATAACATTTTACATTTCTTTTCTTTGGATGGACGTGTTTGTCCCTGGCTTTTTTTGTTGCATCATCTATGTTGTAACCCTTTAATGCCTTACCAACATTTTAGTTTCTCATTTCGTTACCAGTAAAATATCAAGCAGTCAGGTAAGAAGTGAAAACAAAATAATCAACTCGGAGAGTGTTGTCTTGATTTACCATGTACCAACTTCTCATAACTAACGAAACAAGAAATGCATTGAATCCAGTAAGGAGAATTGAGATTTTGAGTTTGGAACTAACAAAGAGAGTTTTAGAACTTCTGGAACACATCACATTCATAATACTGTAAGACAGTGCAAGAAACATTTACACCAGCCTTAGGTTCCCACTTTTGGACCTTCTCATCTACATGCATGTACATGACAAGCAAAATCAATAACTATAGTTGTTGAGATTTATAGATACTAATGTAATTACTTGGTTATCCCCTTTAGCCCATTCCTCTAGAACGGAAAACCCAACCTCGAGCCCACCCACGAGCCCACCCACAACAGAAAACAATCAAACTGTGATCCCATGTAAGTGGAATATCTCATTCTGAACATGACGCAGGTATTTCAAAACCCATACTGGACCAGTCCGAGACAGGCGGATGGAAGTTTCCTATACAATACAATAACCTATATTTCACCTCGAATTTAAAAACGTCATCTCATCAAAGCTTTGCTCCTGTTTTTTGCACTTGGTATTGGGTTGTAGTGTAGATGAATGACAAAATGTGTCTTGGTTTTGCTGTTAAGAAGGTGTATAAAGGCCGATACACACAAGGGGTTTTGCTAAAGGAGTGGGCTTCAGGGTCAATTGGCATGACTAGTACACACTGGGGAACATAGTGTGGGAGCTTGCTCCATATCATGATACACACGGGGAAGCATTTTCAAGTCTGTTCAGTTTGCCCTGGGATCTTGCTCCCAAATATTTAAGTGGTTTAATGTTGTGGAGCATTTTGCAGGGTTGGAAACTCTGCTCCCGAGAATGAATTACACCCATGAAATCAATGGTACAGACGCAGGAGCTTTGCTCCTGGACCTTGCCCCTGGAGCAAAACCCCTCACGTGTGTTGGCCTTAAGAAACACCTAGATGTAGAAAGAGCTTTGTTTACATGTATGCAGCTTTGTGTGGATGGACTACTCTTCTTGTTGGATTCTGGCATGACTTACTTCTGAGAAATGGCAGACAGCAAATGTTTATTTAATTAACCATCCAAGTGCACATAAACTTATAAATATCTAAAACAACACTGTAATCTAAGACAGTGAAAAGTTTAAAAATATTATTATGGTAATGTATACTTTAAATTCCTGAGTTCTAATTTATTCTAAAAACTTAGCTGATGTCTAATAAATTTGTTAATATTAACTATAACATACAACTCACACTTCAGTGATTTTCATTTTACAACAATCATTTTCACTGGCTCTTTTCCCCTTTGCTCTACATTGTTGTTTTTTCACTTTTTTTCTGTTCGCTTCACAGACAAATAATTTTACTTTATTTTCCATTCTTTCCTTATCACAAATCTCCAGACAAAAACATACTGCACTGCTTTGCATTTAGTTTGCTACAAGCTAATTCCCAGTTTGAGTTTATTTTTAATTACTAATGCTTGTTCCACACTTCAAGTAATGGCGCCTGGAAATTTAATACCATCATCTAATAATATTACTCAAATGTAAGCCTATAATGATCCATTTGCAAGAATCTTGCTAAAGGCAGAATTTGGCCAAAAAGTATTTTCAAATCTGTGAAAATCAAAAGAATGTTCAGTAATTTCTCAGCTTTCCAGCACTAACCTGTTAAAGCTTTGTTATAGTTCCTTCAAGCACGCCTCCTTCTAAAACCACTACTTCGGTGAAGGTTTCTGAATTGTACACTACTGCAGCATGTAAGTCTCTGTAAGGTTTAGATCTTTTTTCCCCATTTTGCAATCAGTTCATACCATGCAAGCGTACTCAAAGCCTCACCTCAGTTCTGGCAACATTTTTTCTACATCTTTCTTTTCCAGTTCTTCATACACCTACTTGCTGTGTCTTCTTGATGCCATGTGTGATTCTTTTTTCCATTTTGCAGTCAATGCATAACATGCAAGTGTCTTCACAGCCTAACCTCGGTTCTGGGCAGCACTTTTCCAACTTCTCTGTCTTCTATTTGTTCATACACATACATGGACTTTTTATGTCTCGTTGATGCAACGTGATCTGAAGAATAGAGAAGTCTTATAAGAGAAGTATTGAAACTGCAGCTGGGATATTAACACAAACGTTTGTCTTTCATACAACATTAACTGTACGAGAAAACTATACCGATCCGACTTGCATTAGGTGATGCTGCAAATGCCACATGTCAGTTAAGCTGGCCTTTTTCTCCTATTCATGTCTGATTCATCAGTGATTCTCACTTGTTTAAAACAAATAAAGACAAGGAGAACAATTTGAAAAACCTAAAAAAAGAGAACAATTTGAGAAACCTAAGCCTTAACATAGAACAGCACCCGGAAATAACACATGAGAATAAACAAGATTAGACTATAGTTGCAAATTTTTCATTTTCTGTAACAAAAACTTACTCAGTCTGATTGTATTAGTCTAGAAGTGACATCAAACACAGTACCCAATCAAACTTTTGGCTTTAAATCAATGTAGCGTTTCTTACAACCCTGCACCTAATTGTAAAATCTTAATCTGCTAGAATTTCTATACCTGCAATTGATGGTTCAATTATGGGCTGAAAATCATGAGTTGCTGGAGAGCAGAGAGTCAAGAAAATGCAGCATGGAGAAAAATCTGCAAAGAGTTCAACTCTTGCATGAAATCTAATAAAATACTTAATTGAGAAATATAGATCTTGTTACGTACATTTCAATCAGTAACGTTTTGGTTCAAACATGTTGCTCTGATGCGCCCACTGCCAAAATTTGGAACATGCAAAATTTTTGCCAATTTTTTTCCTCACCAAAAATTAGAAATATTTGATTTCACTCTGGTGTGACCCAGCCCTTATTGAAAACATTTTGATTATGTCTCTAATTGTCATGTTCCCCAAATACTTTGCATATATGCACTCTATATGTCCAGCTGGCCATCAAGAACACTTTGATCATTCATCTTATCTTGCTCCTTTCTTCTTACTCTTTCAAACGTGTCCTTGAGAACTTACTTTTGTCACTGCAACTTTCACCATGTGGTTTAAGGATAGTCCAATAACATTTTCTTGAGGATTGTACCTTCAGTCTCTGAATGTGCCATCTCTTTGAATCTGCTTATAGCTTCAGGGAAAGCAACTGTCTTAACTACACCTTCAGCAAGTAAGTTTAACTGCTCAAGACAAATATTTTAGGGGCCTGCTGATCAGAGAAAAGAAACCTAGTTACTGCAAAAAACATACAACTGGGTTCAGTTTTGTCTGCTGTATCACATTACAGAATTGTGCCCAGTGAACAACAGTTCTAAAACCTGAAAGTGTTGGCTTATAATGTCACCCTTGATGACTGGTTTTAACCCAAAAACTCTTGTCCAGTTTAATACATTAGCATAACTTTTGAATTCTGAACAATTTTGGATCTGAGACTGCATGGTAAAAAATCCGTGTAAAACTATAAATTCACTATAAATTCGTTGAAATCCTAAAACTGATTGCCTTAGTATTTATATATCTCTGCTAGATAGGTATTAAATTTAATAGAATTTGAGCAAACTCTAAAAAAGATTCTAGGGAAGACAGCAAAACACTGAAAAGACTTCCAAACTATAAAAAGTCTATTATGGTTTTAATTTTTGATTTAAAAATTTAAAGACTTTCTCACCACCAGCACTGTTGATTAACAAAGAAACACCTTATTCAATGAAAGCAACCTTTAAACACAAATTTTAAAAAATTACTTAGCCTGACTTTGCAACTAAACTGCACCACAGAAGATTGAAATAGATCTTATTTTTGTCTTGAAATAATTTTCATCTGGTTGTTTCTTGGCAAACACATTCAATTACCTTGTAAAGTTTGTTTTATTTGGTGTTTTTCACTGGTGTGTCAGTTCAGGACACATGAGCTGTTAAAAACTGAAAATACAAATGTTAAGAAATTATCCCAAGCCGTGGGAAGCTGTCCAGCAGGCTACTTGCACTTCCACAGCTTTGGACTCTCACTTATTGAGTATGTTAAAATTCAATGGGATGTTCTCATTTCAATCCTAACTGTCTCTACACTGCATGTACAAACATAGCAGCGTCCAAACATAATAACATATTCAAACATATAGTTATAACAACGTAAGACATGCAATGTGGTGTATTAGTGGGCTCAGTTCTGTAGTGCTGAATTAAAACCAGCTTTCCGTAGACACCAAAATGTACCTTCAAACAACGTTTAAATAAGATCAGTAGCCCCCTATATCTGTTAAACATAATTTCTAATGCACATTTAAGGAAAAATTAATCAGTAACCTGTGATTTGTAAATGTTTATGTTTAAACAGCTGAAAAGGCTAAGAATTTGTTATGAAAATTAATGTTAAAAGAACTAACCATGTGCCAGATAAAACAGCTAGAACTTACGTTTAAATCTCAAATTAAAAACATCACTGTTTCTAAATACTCAGCAGCCAGGAAGGGTTTTTAAAATACTTGATGCCTGATACCTTGATACTTTTTGTTAAAAATGCAATCAAAATTCAAGAAATGACAACATCAACTTAAAATTATCCAACCTCAGTAGCATTAATGCACTGGTAACCACCACTCAACCCTAACACGCCACTAATGAACAAAACTGTAAGAAAAATTCTCACATGCTAACTCTAACAATGTAATTTATAAACACTAATCTTTGTATCACTCTCCTAATGACAAATTGCTATTCCTAAGGGAAATTGTGCAAACTTCATATCTTGACACAGTGTGCAAGGCAGTAATAATGGTATAACCTTTTTATTTTGCTTCCAAATGAGGCCTGGTATTTACAGACTAGCCACCTCCAAAATTAAATTTGAATGTCAAAATACAAAACATCAATGATCACAATAGGCATGAATTTGGAAGGTCAGTACACATTAATGTTCAGTTTTATAGTTTCTTTGCCTCTTCATTTTTGATTCGGCGATCTATTTTGGGCCAAGCTGCATATGTATGAAGTTCAAGCCAATGACAGGCCAAGAGTTTTTTATGGTTAATGGTCAAAAAGCGAAGATCAAGATCAAAGAGTCTTTGACGTAACCAGCACAGAATGGGACATGGAATATTGCGTACAGGTCACATCAACAATGTTTTGAATTCAAGACTTGGAAAAACGCGTAACAAGATCTACTTGCACACAATGCACATCTAAACACGTTAACACGCTTAACCCCAATAACTTACCCAACCATTACTTACAATCATATAACTTACAATTCCAAAGAGAAATTGTTCTGGCTTTTTCAACAAGGTATCTATCAACTATTTCAAAAACCCTTCCAGACTGCATAATATTTGCATGTTGTCAGTGTTCAAAAACATTGTAAACAAAAACCACGGCTTGAATTAAAGCAAGGCGTGCAGGTAAGTTTGATGTGGAAACATGATCATGTTTAAATTAATCTTTTTGTATTGATTACTGAGCCATTTCTATGAATAAGCTTTAGTCTTGTACAATAGATGACCTTACTAAATATTATATTAATAACTGCTTTCCAAAGCGGAAAGGGAGATGTAGAAAGATCAAGCTTAAACTTCGGCATTTCTTTTCACAATGTTTACGTTTGAACAGAGAGATATCCTTTCTATATTAATCAGCAAGCTAGATGGAAATCTCGCACAGATGATTAAGCCACAGTTATAAGCCAACACAGCTCGTAAAATACAAAAACAAAAGTCTAAAACTCGCACATTTTTACCTCCAGCTCCAAGGACTTCGATTGTCCCGCCATTTTGAAACTCCCAGCATGCAATGTGGTCGCGACAGCGGTGCATTGCGGGTAAAGGAACTTATTGAACTTTGCCCCTACACAATTTGTTTTTTGTTTGTTTGTTTGTTTGTTTGTTCTCTTTCGTGGCGAAGAAAATATCGGCAGGACTTTCACAGAGAGTCGGTTGCGTTCACAAGCTCGGCTTTACAGCAGGCAAAATAATTAAAATTTTATCAAGCTAGCTTCTTAGTTTCCTATTTTATCTTAGTTTCTAGTTTCTATGCATTCAATTTGTGACGTTCATGGTTTCGTTTTGCCACTTTAACTGTGCAGGTAGCCAGCATCAGACAAAAGTAAATTCCTTCTGGTAGTTCCAATTGTAGTTTTTTGTTTTTTGTTTTTGTCCCTGCCACAGTAGACTAGGAGGCCTCTATCTAAGACTTTCCTTTAGTTTTTTAATTCTTCACCTACATTCCACGGAGGCAATCAGAAAAATTAAGGCAGGAAAGTTTTAGGGAGCTTACTTATTTGCTAGCTTGACAGGTTTACTAATCTAAGATTAAGTTGCATTGTTCAGATGTACAGAGTAGGTGGACTGTGGTTTTACACTACATGGTGTGTTGATAGTGGTGAGGCTGTGGTTTCACACTTCAATATCAGCGACAGAGTGAGTCTGCCTTCTTCGTAGGACGGAGAAGGAAGATTTTTTTGGTTGGTTTTCTTTCCTTGTAGTTGACCCCAAAGTAGGAGCTCGTACCGCGGGACTTGGATCGGGCGCCATCGCTGGGATTGTAATCGCCGTTATTCTAATCGTCTTGATCACGATCGATTTATTCTGCTGCTTCTTCAACTCTTGCGGCATCATCTTCTGTTGTCACCGGGCCATTTGCGGTGTGGAAGGTGGAGTGACGGGAGGAAAAGATGATTGTGAGTATGGCTGTTTAATTGATTGATTCCCTTAATTTAAGAGGGCCCTGCATAAGCTTGGCGGGATACGGGATGAGAATAAAAATGAAGACGGGATACGGGATTACAGGACTTTTAATGGTGGGATGCAGGATAAAAATATTTCGGCGGGAACGGGATCTGCTCATTTTTGCAGACGGGATGCGGAATAGTTTAAAATTGACTGCTAGATGCGGGATGAAAAACGGAAAATCACACGTTGCAGAGGTAACGCGGAGAACTGGGACTCTAACCAGGCGGGATCGGGATAAATATTCTGACTGGGGCAGGATGGCGATGTTGAGCCAAAAATAGGGAGCAGATCGATTCTTTACTGGCCTCCTACGCAGAGGCCCTTTGGGCTCGTCACGCAGTCTTCCTCTTCCACGAAGATTGCGTGACGAGCTTGAAGAGCGTGCGCGAAGGAGGCTAATTCCTTACACGACACAGAGACAAATATTTTGGAAACAAGATTTCTCCAGAGAAATTGAGGTTAAGAAGAGGAGAATTTAACCTGAGTAATCGTTTTTTGTTTGTTTTTCTAGACAAGGATGGTAAAGCCACGGAGATGGAGAAGTAAGAGCAAATTCAGTTCTTTGTTTACATTCATCAATTCGTCACCTGGAAATTTGCTCAATCTCTGTCGTTGTGCGTTCTAAACTAATACACCTTTCTTCTCTTCTAGAAAACCATTGCCTGAAAATGTGTAGCTGTTGAGTCTGCATTTGTGCATATCAGCGGGAATCTCCAAGGCGGTCAAACAGACGAAACTACCGTCAAAAGACTACTTTCGAGTTTATTAACTTCGTTACTTCAGTAAAAAGTTAATTAGTGTCATTTAAAAATGGAAGATATCGCTGTGGACATTTTGAGGAACATAATCATGGTCAACAACCATTTTAGTGTTTGATAATATATTTTTGTGCTTTAGCGGCTGTGATTTTGCAGTTGCATAGAATGCATTCAGTTCTTGGGTAAATTTCTAAACATTCTTTTAAGATTTTTGCAATAACTTCGACAGTCTTTCAATGAAATTCATTTCCCTCTATCTCAGTACCCTGTACTCCTTCTAGAGCTTTTTGAAAACACCTTAACTTTCTACTGAACTACATTCGTTCATCGAAACAGGTATTTCCGTTCAGGCGAAAGAGTTGTCTCTTCTCTCTATAAAATATTCTTCATACCTATCCTCCTTTTAATATTTTGTGCATCACAACTGAAAAAAACACTGTTTGCTGAAAGGACTTGTAGTACGATAATGCACCAAGTAATTTTTAATAAACGAAACTTAAAAGGACATAAAGCCAATAGTTAGATTAAAGGAGCTGAGAAACAGACACTTATCGGAGTACAAATGATTAAGATGTAGCGAAAATTTAAATCGGATTACTTTAACCGAAAATGTTTTTACTGCGAATACAGTTTTCCTGGCAGGATGTAAATATTATTTTTTAGCGTTCTTCAAGCATACCAATCTCGTCTCGACAAGTGTTTGTGCGATCCATTTTAATTGTCAATCAAAGCTGCAATTTGGGATTGTTGTGCTACAAGTTCTTTACGCCGGGGAAGCAGTTTTTCAATGATCGTCTGGCTAAATCACAGCGCCAGTTTCAAAAAGAAGTAAACTTGGGCAACACGTTAAAAGCGCGGGAAAATCCCGTAAAACACTTACATCACGATTTTGTTTTTTCAGTTGATTGGCTGAGAAGACAGCACTTCTTTTCTGATTAGTTAGGGCACATGGCGTGAGCCCGTCCGTAAACCAATCAAAACGCTGAAAATTACAGTCACTTCTTACCTTTTTGGAATATTTTGATAACTCTTCGTGTCTAAACGAAAGGCTCTAAGACAGGGAACTTCATTTACTAAACAGGCAAACGTAAAAGGTTTTATTACCCTCTTTTTGAAAGAAATAATCAGAAATGGAAATTTATTCGTGATTCCCAGCTCTGCAGCGAAACGCAAACTTTATTCTACAAGTACATTAATATATAAAAAGTAAAATATGGATTTAAGAAATTTGTCTATTACATTATTGTATGAGCTTTTTTTTCTGCAAGGGTTAAATTACTTTCCGTGCTTTTTGTATAAAAAATTAGAAACTTTTAATGAATCGATCAATTAACATTTTGATAATTTCGTTAACTTACCCGATTGCGAAGTTGTTTTCATTTTGTCTTGAAATATTCAGTAGTTATTTCGCATTATCTGTGTTTCGTAATATTTCCTATTTGCTTCAGACAAAATTTGTTTTCTCGAGAAACAAAGCAATTTATATATCAACTAAGGAAATAGCGCCTTATTTAGAACAGCTCGTTATTGACTGTCGCTAATTCTATTGTTACTTAGGACTTGCGAATATCGCTCATCTCGAGGGTTTATTTAACAGTATGTCACGTGATCATTTGTCACATCAATGCGTGTGTGTAATTAAACAAGCTTTAATAAGCGTATAATAAAATACCTCAAAGAATGATGTTTTTACTTTGTTAAGTCAAGTCACTTAATTTCACACTTCAAAAATCACGCTTCACATATCACACTTACCACTTCACATACCACACTTCACTTATCACGGTTCGCATTTTCCTGAGAGTGGTTATAACAGGAAACGTGCGAAATAATAACCAAGAAAAGCGTGTTTACTGAGTTTGAACAAGAAAATTCACTCAGTAAAAACCTAACCTGGAGCTAACACTAACTATTTATATCCCTAACAGTGACCAACCCTAACAAAATTATTTAATACTAAAACCTATTAAAAATAATACCTAAACGAATCAATTAAAACTTGTCTCATTGGGTGATTTGTGGTAACTAGAAAAATGTTTCCTGCCAAACTAGGAAAGCTGGCGAAAATGTTTGAAATTAATAACATAAGTCAATATAACCCTAACCACCCCGGAAATAACATAATAAAACAATTGTCTGACCCTTAATACTAGACGTTCAAATAATCAATTAAAGGAAAGAAATTGGCAGTTACTTCATGTCGGGAAACGTCAAAATTTTTGGAAGCAAAACTTGATGTTCATTCCGGAGAAAGGATCAAACCCGGATCTTGCAGTATAACAGGTGAGCTATAAGTTATAACTACTGTAAAAGCTTTTTTAAATTGAAGCTCATCTCTGTGCCTTTTTTCAACCCTTCTCCCCACCCCAGTAAAGCCTGAGGTTTGTGAAATATTCGACGACAATTTCAGAATGGGAAAGCCAATATTTTGCCCTCAATCTTCTCGTACTCCAAATCTGAGAAATTTTCGCTGAATGAGACTGAGTTCCGATGTTATGAACGAAAAACAACTCTACTCTATTTTCGAGGGTAGGTCAAGATTGTCTTTCTTTGAAAAAATGCGTGTGATCTTCAAAGGCCTATAACGTGTTCTTCGTCGTTCACACATTTGAAATCTCGTCCAGTTATTTTCTTGCCTGTTTGTGAGAATTTTTCCTTTTTCTTTTAAGCTCTCCTTTCTATTAAGCTCCGTCCCACTCCCCAGCTCTTCACCCGTCCCTCCTTATACAGAAGGCATTGGGAACAAACAACTTTCCCCAGGGGCGTACATTTAATACCGTGCAAACAAACTTTTACGTTTTGCTCAATCTCCAAGGTACGTACTAAACTAACCTTCACAGGTCCTCAACCACAGTATACTGTGAATAAAAGTCACCACTGAAACTTCTAGCATGTTGCAATGCACATGCGTGAATCATGATTTAACCCAGATTACCAGAAACCAACCTCGTCCTCAGGTCGAAGCGCTTTACCCTCATTGGAGGAAAGCGCCCTGATGACGAGTTTGTCCAGAATCCTGTTATCTTTTAAAGGGTTTCTGTTGATTCTAAACCAAGTTAAGCTAAGAGAAACCATTATTTAACCTCACTTGAGACACCTTGACACTAAACTGTTTCTTAATTAATCATAAATACTAATTAACCACAACACTGAGGAGCCTTAGAACTTGAACTCTTGAACACTAAACAGCAACATACTAAGCCGGACCAGAGTACAATTTGACTATGCACAAAGTAATATATTTGATATTCTAGTGGTATGGTGTATGTTTTGAGGTAGATCTATCTACAAATGGGATTTCTGCTTATGAAGTTGCTGATGATCGTTGTTTTTTGGGAATTAAGCAATCAATAATATCAAGTTGAAACTAAGCCTCGTTTCCAGGGCCTGGGAACGAGGCTACTTGATGATTATTGTTGTGATCTACTCACGCTTCGTAGAAAAAGACCCGTGGTACCGTTTCCAATGATGAAAAATTATGCTAAGGTTATGTCATGTTTTTTTTTTTAATTATCGTAATAGTTCACGGGTACTTAAAACAAAAAGCAAACAATACAAGTGAAAAAAACTTTATCATGCCCCCAAGAAATAAACAATCTTATTTATGCTAGCAGCGCTGCTTTGAGTAAAATGGTAAAATTGTGATTGTTTTGCACTGAAGATCATGCTAAAACAATTCGCTGGCACACGCGATTCCTTTCCAAGAATAGAGGTCGACCTTCTCCTAGTACAAAGCACAGCGAAACCGTGGTTTTGATTGGTTTGTTTTGTATTTGCAGGGGTTCTAGAGAGCTTCAAGAAGCTTGGAGCAGGAGCCATCGCCGGTATTGTGATTGCTGTCATCCTCCTTGTCCTGATTGCCATCGATTTCTTCTGCTGCTTTTTCAATTCATGCGGGCTCATCTTCTGCTGTCAACAGGCCCTTTGTGGCGGCGGCGGCGGCAAGGGCGAAGGAGAGGGAGCTGGAGGAAAAGATGACTGTAAGTTTGATGATTTGTCAAAGAACATGTTTCAACATTGCCTGCAACATTGGCAGAGGGTCTGGATGGCGGAGAGGTGGGGGGGGGNGGCCATTTGTCAGTTGTCAGTTAAGTGGCGGTTAATAATTAATTGAAGACAAAAAACCTCTCCTAGACCTAAAACCTCTCCAGTTGTCAGTTAATTGTTCGGGTATTTCTCCGTCGTCAGTTATGTTTTTTGACCATTTTTCAGTTGTCGTTGACCCCATCCAGACCAGAAATAACAGCTGCATGCAATATGCAAATTGCATCGGGAATCCTTGCCTAAAATCGTGCGCAATACTGTTGAGATAGAATCTTGTTCTACTTCTACAACATTAGATGCAATTATAATTTCAATTTACGTACACTATAAGCAACATTGGGCGCAAAGGAATGGCACAGCTATCAGCCATTTCCTGCCTGATTCTTCGGCACGTGGTTAAAACTAATACTAACAAATTAAATGTTCTTTCTCACAAGAAATTTGACTCCTCTCATCATTACTCATCTTTCTTTTTTCATCTTTAGACATGGACAGGAACGCCACAGAGATGGAAAAGTAAGGCCCATTTTGCTCATATTAGGACTCCATGAACTCCCTATTATTATTTTGTCTTTTTTCGATGACCTCGCAAAGCCTGGGATGAAAAATTTCTTGGCTAGTGTTGCACGCGGCCGGCCGGTGACGTCACCGATCCTAAATTCTGGGCCGGGTTGTTCCGAACAACCGGTTAACGCTAAAGCAAGTTTAAAAGTTAACCGAAACAAAATTCAAAATTCTTGCTAATCCTGGGTTAGCTTAATCGGACTTTGGTCATGTGTCGACGTGCCTCTTTTCATGAATTTATTATTCCGTTTCTTAAGCACACGTAGGCAATCTCTGTTCTTACCTGAAAATACTTTTCTTTCCTTCCAGGAAACCATTGCCGACGACTGAAGAGGTGTAACTGGTGAGCCTGCATTGGTGCAAATCAGCGGGAATCTCTGTCGGGGTCGGAAAGAAAGGGAGTTAAAGCAACAACCACTACATGTATTACTGCAAGGACTACGTCTAATATAAGAGATATCCCTTGTTACCACCACGAGTCAGTTTGTTTCTAGATGGAGACCACCTTATAGGTTCATATACTGAAACACGTAGAATTAATGTTTCTATTTCCATAAGACTACAAAAGAAATGTACAGTAAGCCCGTCCTTACTACACCGGGGGAATTTGAAAACGCAGCTTTATTTCTACGGTTAGGTCTACCGTCCACACTAATCCGTCACGAAAACGGGGCTTTTGGAAAACGCTCTTCAAACCGGATGAATTTAAAAACGTTTCGTTTTCGTGTGGACGGAGAACATTTTGAAAACGAAGCTTTCCGAAAACGATGGTCTCACGATAATCCTGTGATTTCCCTGACCGAGTTTTCCTCATGCACAAATCCAAAATGACCGGTGATTGTTGCGTTTTTAAATTCCTCCGGCGTAGTTTGGACGGAAATCATTTAATTCGTTTTCAAAGTGAAATTTCCTCCGGCGTGGTGTTTAGACGGGGCTTGAGATGTATGACGCTCGCCCAGTATCCGTCGTCGCACGTGTGACATCGTTTCTCGTGCAAACCCAATGAATGTGTTCATTCTTTTATCTGGCCACTTCCATTTCAGTTGCCCTTGCTATCGTGGTTGCTTCAACTCCCTTTTAGTTATCAGGTCATTTACGTCGTAACTACAGTAATTTAAATTGGCATCATTTAAAAAGAGGAAGACATATCGCTGTGGATATTTTAAGGAACCTATTCGTGGTTTCCAACGTTTAGTGTTGCGTTGTGAGCTTTATATTTCCGCATTATCTTTCCAAGCTTTGCTGGGTGTTTAAAAAATTGACATTAAAATTTAAAAAGATAAAAGAAGAAGAAATAAACATCCAAACACAAAATTCCATGCTGCGTATGTATAAGCCTGTGATCGATTAAACTATGCGGAATTTCTTTCTCGTTCAGGCAATTTTAATTTCCATGTAGTGGTGTCACAAGGCAGCATTGATTGCGACAGTCTCTGAAACCGATAAGTTTTCATTTGTAAAACGCTCATAGTAAAGTTCAAACTTACTCTTTCATGCAATTATGCAACAATAAATGTACAGTTGCAAAGAATTTATTCCTTTTTTAATAGATTTTCAATCAATTTTTTCACTAGTAAGTAATAATTGGGAAAATTTAATCACTGATGACGTAGAACAGGGATCCTAGTTGTCTCTGATTGGCTCTTTAATAATGGCTTGTGAATTTTAGCGCGAAAGTAACAACCAATCAGGAACTCCACAGTGATCTTTGCAACATTATGTCATGAACATGGAATTTTGGGATACGAATATACGTCTTTTTCTCTCAGTCTATTTTACTTTTTCTCTACTAATATATTCTGTGACTTTTTTGCGTTCTCCTAGTTTCGTAATAAGTAAATTCATTTGAATCAGAGAAAAGCCACTGCATTTCTTTTTATAAAGCCATCTGTGCTCTTGATAAGCAAAGCCGCAGCAATTACAGCGTTTTATTCAGAGTAGTTAGGTATTGAATGTCGGCTTCTGGCCTCTGGCGATAATTGCATGCTTGGGTGATTTATATAAACGTTTGTGTGTGTTAATATTTGTTATACCAGGTTTGTGTAATAAGCAAGTCAACTTTTTTTTTATTAAAAGCGTACGGCAATAAAGTACCTTAAAGCACGATGTTGGTATTTCTCACTCATTTCGTTTATGTCCTAAATGGATTGGGCACCGTGAAAAAAAATCGTCGTAAAATCGAACCTAAGGCCTAGTTCAGACGCCGAACTTTTCATGAGCCGAACTTAATTCGAATTTGGACCGACCCAAATTATCAAAAGCACGCCTGTTGATTCAGACGTCGAACTTAATTCACCGAACTTAATTTAGTTTGAACCATAACACATCGAAACATCAGCGGTTTTCAGGCAAGGTATATGCAATACGTTCGGCACATGAAAAGTTCGACGTCTGAATCAAAGCCGTTCCAAAGCCGAAATTCCCGGCTGAGCTAGGCGGGAAGAACGGCTGAGCCGTTCCAAGTTCAAATAGCCGTTCTCGACTGATTCAGACGCCGAACTTTTCATGTACTTAATTCAACGCATTAGGTTCGGCTCATGAAAAGTTCGGCGTCTGAACTGGACCTAACTAATGGAAAGTATTGGCATGGCCAAGACAGTAATTAGAAACGGTTAAACGTAAAAACGGTGCTAAGCGCGGGAAAACGTGAAACCTGTGCCAAGCGCGGGAAAACGTGAAACTGGTGCTAAGCGCGGAAAAAAGTATAACCGGTACCGAGCGCGGAAAAACGTGAAACCCGTGCCAAACGCGGGAAAACTTGAAACCTAGAACACGACTGGATTTGATTCTAGCTCCTGATTCTTGAGAACATAATGTTAACATATCTATTTTGATTGACTAAAGGACGTCGCACGACTTTTTCCCGTTTGTGTGCTGATGACAGCATTTTTATTCTCTTACAAATGGCAAAAACAATAGAACACGTTTTCTAGCTGAAACAAGAAGTACTGATTGAAGTCGGCTTGATTTAGTTTTGTTTGGTTAGCTTATTGATTTATCTGTTTGGTTTGAAATAAATTTGAAAAAATAAAAATAAAAAATTTGAAAAATTGCTCTATGAATTATCAACTGAGCATGTTCCCAATCTTACTTTTTTAATGGTGTTCGTCGCTCAAGTTTCATTTCCCAAGGTCAAGGGCAAACTCCTTTCAACAAAGACAAATTTTGAAACTTGCTTTTTGCTGGGCATTTTAAGTTTGAGTTAATATACCGCGATTCGACTTGAAATCAATAATAAGCTGATTAATTGGCTCTTGGAGTTTCAGATGTTGTTAAACTGCGTTCACGATTACCTAATTTAATTAGTCAATTTCCGAGTTGCCTTTTGCCTCTCCGTCAAAACTGACGAGTCTTTCCCCTAAAGGTTCATTTGCACGTAAATCAAACCTTTTTTCATCTGAAAGGTTTCGCACGGGGACTCGTTTTGAAACAGAGGCACACGGTAATTTAGAAATAGCTCAACCGAATTACTATAGGCTTAGTTAGGTACAGGCAGCCGTATGAATGCGAGAGCAGGAAATTGAAATTTGACAATATCCTTAATTGTTCGAACTTTTCTGGGGTTACTCAGTTGTTGTACGACTCAATCTCGTTCCCAGAGCCCTCGTTGCCCTTGTCCAGCGGAACGGGTTCCCGTTCCGCTGCACAAGGGTAACGAGGGCTCTAGGAACTAGATTAGGGAGCTCAAGAAACCAAGACGGCGACGCCGAGGACAACGTCGATTAAAAAATGAACTTATATTTTACCTACGAACGTCGCGGTTCTCTAAAGTCATTTACTTTGTTTATATCACTGTCAAAGCTATCACGAAACTGAATCTAGGACACATCGACAAATTCGAAATAAGAATTTAAAAATTAGCCGTCGTGGTTCACGTTCTCTAGACAACGCGGAATTTGGTCATTTCAAGTTGTTGTTTTGCAGAGGGCGGCAAAGTAATGTCCCAAGAATTATAACGCACGTGCACAGCCGTTGGTCTGCTCATTAAACCTTTTGTTTAGCGACGTTGCCGTTGCCGTTGCCGTTGCCGTTGCTGTCGTGGTTTTCTTAAGCTCCCTAATAAGTAGTTACAAACGCACGTGTTAATTTGCACTCCCGCGGTGCAAATTAAATTTTAACCATAAATTGTTCCCCTCTTGGAAAATCACAACAAAAGTATTTGGAAGTGAGCTGATTTTAGGTTAACCAGCCACGTTCGAATAAGATGAGTGATTTTGGTAGCTACCGGTTGAAATGGATCGAGGAAAACCATTTGAGTAATTTATTGTTTCCATGTTTGTCGCCATTTCAAAGTGTTTGGGGTACATTTTGCGCAATTACTTTAGGACCACCCACCTATACCCTCGGTCGTCAATAAGACCACAAAAAATCAACCCATTTAAATTCATGATTTCTCATCGAGGCTTGCTTGTTTCAAGACGTTATCCGGAGAGGTCTCCTTGGTTTTCAATGACAAAATCTATTTGTGTAATTTTGCATTTACAGAGAATTGTATAGAAGTGCGTTTTATTCACGCAGGCGATAAACTTTTGTTTCTTATCCAATGTTTAACTACTAACAATCAATGCTAAAACCGTAACTTCTAAACTTTCGTTTATCATCGGAGGCTCTTGTTTATTACCTACTCCAACATTACTTTATCTTCGACCGTCGAGAGATTAAATGCTGTTTTTGGAGTCACATAGATGGAATATTTTCCCACTGCACGACGCATGCTTTTCGAGCAATTTCTCTTGATTTGTGTTCTTACGAAATGTTTTGCGCAAACGACTTAAAAACGTTTTTTTAAACTCGAATTTAAGAGCTGGCTAGAGAACCTCGAATGCTCCCAATTCCCACGCCTCAATCGTCTATGTTTTGATTTAATTCGCTTTCAATTTTTGGTTCCCACGGAGATAAATACCATTATTATTGTATACTTTTACGTAATCTAAACTGTCAGTTCCGTTGAACGTTTCGTTAAAGTGAAAGAGATTGATAGTTTAAAAACCAGTGGTGATTCCGGCTAGCAACTTCCTCGTTAAATCGCAATATTTCTTAATTTAACGACCTTGTCAACAACAAAATGGTTTCTCAAGTTTTAGGGAATGTAACACTTTGCATCATCTTTGGACGTATAAGGCTTGCTCCTGTTTTCATATCGTTTGGAAACGTCTCATATTTTAGAACAAAAGCATTATTTCTTGATAGATATGCACTTTTTTTAAATTAATATTTATACAACGTGTTAATTTGACCGATATAATTGTAACAAAGCTATTTACATCGAAGTTCTTTCAACGCAGACAAGTCAAAATACACGGTTATATCTAGAGGCCCATTTCAGACGTTTTAGCGCTAATGATGTCTAGTAGGGACATTTAACACCGGGAAATGACCTTTACATTTTCAGTTATTTTGCAAAGTTCTTTGTAAACAAGTTCGATCAGATAGTAACCAACCAATCAAATTGCAGAACCCAACATAAAGTTTGGTAAACAAGATAAGGCGATTAAGCTCAATAACATTGCGCGAATCAAAACAATTATTGCAATTTAGACCTCCTTGTCAGAAAAACACGTCTAGAGGTCAAAAAGCGTCACAAAGCTGAAGTATTCCAAGCTCTAATCATTTCTTTGCAAGATTGGCATCTCACGGTTTCTCCGCACATGTTTCTACCGAGGAGCACCGATTCAAACATTGCAAGTCCCATAATGTATTTATCAAACTGGCCCAGAACATCGGCTTTCCAACGACCGAAACCGCGGCGTGATGAGAGAAGTGAGAGAAATCCAGCTCCAAAGAGTTTTATGATTGATGACATTTTAAAGAGGGAAGAGCCAACAAATCAGAGAGGAAAACCTTGCGAACTACGTAAGTCAAAGTCATTTTGAACGACTTCACTCAGGACTTCTTGTCATTTGCTTACACGTGTTGTTCCCACACAAAATTGTTTACTCGCGGGTGCATTTTGAGTTACAGAAACAGTGACGGGGAATTCTATAGCTATGAAGGAAATAACCCGGTTTCTTAACATATAACAACTACTAATCGCCGAAGCTTTGTACCTTTATAGCTAGGCTGTTGTCTAGTATTAATACGTTCCGATTTAATTGCTCGTAACATGTTAACAAACCTTCCTCTTAACGCACGAGGAAGTCGTGTTTTTACCCGCGTGTGTAATACTACTTGCTTTAAGTTCATGGTACAAAATAATTTAGCATCCAAGTTGATTTTAATCGGATAATAGTCATTTAGCACCTTTCAATATCAAATCTCTTTGAAACTTCCACGCCAAGCAAAATCCGAAAGGTGTAAAAAATGCATTTCCTGAAAACATTTCAAAGATTGACAGCCTGTCTCTTTTAATACCCCAACAGGTTTATTCAAACCTTGATTCATTAATTTTTACATGCATTTGGAGTTAATTTCAGTCCTCAAACGAAAGCTTAAAACTCATACACACTATCGGGTGAAATTCGCAGGGAAATGAGATTCTATAGCCTATATAGGCTTGAGGCGAGGCCTGAGGCCTCGCCTCAAGCCGAAATAGTTCATTTATTCCGTAATCGCTCTCTCTTGAAAACGTGAGTTCACCGGGGCCAAAAATTCAATACCTAGCATTTTTTTTTTACTTACATAGCATACGGCTTTAGCAGTTACATTTGGAGCAGCTACCAGACCCCTATCACTTATCAAGAAGAGATGAATGCTTGTAAGTAAAACGAATATTCTTTAAGCTTCTTTTATTTGTATTTTGCAGCTTATCCGGCGCCTTTCAGACCCTTTCATTCGTCCTGCGCGCAACGAAGGAATACATTTGAAACACACCTCATAAAATTTATTTGTCCATCTAGATCCGAAACCACAAACAGTAAATTGTACTGAACAATACTAAACTTCCATTGATTTACTCATATTATGAATTAAATGAATTTGCCATCCTCCGTTGTCGACAAAGTCCGTAGACGATTTAGAGGACCTATAGAGGACTTAGGGAACGGTGCGTAATAGAGCTGGGACCCGGGAGTTAGCTGGGATCGGAGGTGTCCATAATCCCGACAGTAATAACAGAGATCTGTACATGAAGAGAGGTTCGGCTGTGTTTTATGAACATGATTTTCAGGAGCTCAAATCAAGCCTGGTGTAACTTGTTAAGTCGCAAAATATATCCCTCGCATCTTGCTACGAAAACAGACTTGTTTGCAAGGTTAAATGTATTTTTGGACTCTCGAGTTCTGAAATATCGGAGGACCAAAGAAATGTCTGGATTAGTAGGGCTCTCCTTTTTCTCTTCGAATGGAAAGCGTTCTCGAATATACGATGAATTTCGTTACTTTATCGTGAATGATAAATACGCAGCTTACATTTAATACAAGTAGTGTCTTAACAATAACGTCATACCCGTGAAACTCTACAGTACGTGCACCTCTCTTAAGACGAAATCGAACAATTTCAGGCTGTTTTTAATGGACAATGAAAAACCTTGTACCAGAATAGTTTTAAGTCTATTACAGTCCTTTTTGCATTTTCTGAAAGCTAAACATATAAACAGTCGCCTGAAACAACACCAAAAAAATCAATTTCCCATGGGAACTCGAGAAGATCAATTTCAAAGTTCAGAGAAATTGTGCAAACACATGCAGGTAAAATTTCCGTGATCATCAGTTTCATTTCACCAGTACTTTCAAGTGTTTCATACGAAGTTCAACAAAGAATTGAGTATGTAAATAACCTCGGTACAAAGTTTTTGTCCGCTTGTTGCTTGAACTTCTGGCGGATTCCTTCTTGAGCACGTTAAACAAACCACGACGATATTCACCAAACGAACGATTTTTGAGCAGAACAATGGTTGTGCACGTGCGTTATAAATCTTTGTACATTTCTTTGCCGTCCTCTGCAAAACAACAACGTGAAATGAGTGGCCAAGTTTTGGGTATTTTGCAGAACGTGACCCTCGATGGCTGACTAAGTTTTCGTAATTTCTTTTGTAGTTGATCGCTGGCGTTTCATATTTTGTTTAAGCAAGTTTTTAGACCGATCGATGGGCTGAACAGATTTACTAGATTATCGCGAAAATTCAAAGGTATGAATATAAATTCATTTTTTTTTCTAGCCTTTCTCACTTACTAATGTGTTTCTCTTATTTGGCAGGTAGTATTCGCCAAAATCAAAGCGTGATTGCTGAGTTTTCTTTTTCAGTCTAGGCAATGTCGTAGAGTTCTCAAGTTAATTGCGTCCGCTACAGTAATTTAGGCCCATACCAATACTCAGTACACTAAACTGTTGTCATGTGCAATAGGCCAATTTCGATACATTAAAATTCTGACTTGGCTCCGAGGCTTAGGGGAATAAAACAAACTGAAAGAATCACATCGAGGATGAGGGATATTAAATTAGTTTATTTTGTTTTTCCCCAAAGCCTCGGAGCCAAGTTAGAACTTTAATATATCGAAAATCGCCAATTGATTCGCAGTTGTGCAAGAAACTAAGAAATTGAATGACAGACTAAACTGGCATACACTCACCTGTTTTATTGCAGAGAGTCTCTATTAAAACTAAAGGCTTACTGCTGTTTTAATTCTGGATCTTTCTTCCGAAAAATAGTCGGGAGATGCCCGTTGTAGCTCACTCAAAGTGTAGATCAGATAGTTTGAAATGCAACATTACACGTAGTTCAACAGAAATATCAAATGATTAGCGCAAATTTTAATATCCAATGTTTCGACACGTCGAACTAGTTTGGCCCTGAAGAAGAATTATTCCAAGTGGTCGAAATTTTGGTCACGTTTATTAAATTTGCCATGGATATATTTTCGTAGAGCCAGCTTTGCATTTGAAATTGTCCACCGACGGAATGAAAGTACAGTCCAACCTCTCTCTCAAAGGCACTGAGGGAACGGTCAGTAAAACGAGAATCCACCAGAAGCTGGTTCGCGTAACATGTGGACAAAAACTTTGTACCGAGATTATTTACATCGTATTACAAACTTCTGTGCGACTGTTTTAAATATCTTCTCCAAGAAATCATTTCTAACAACATCAAATGTCGAAAACAAATTTTGAAGTTTATAAGAAACAGAATCCCTACATTTGCCTTTCTGAAATTCTCATTCCTCAAGACTGAGCAATGCTAATACTAAAAAAATTAATTACAGACACAAAAACAATCATCCGATTTTTTTTTTCTCACGAACAGAAAGAATGATCAATTTGCCCATGTGTACTTGTGCGTTCTCCAGGACAATATTTTTAAACGTACATTTTTTTGGAAAGATCAACCACCATCAACCGCCAGGCTATTTTAAGAAAGATGGCAGACAGCTTGAAAATTAACCTGCATAATATGACATGATCCGATTTTTTTTACCTCAGCGTTGCTTTACCTTGAGGTCAATGAACAACAATATTAGGGAGCTTAAGGACGTTCGCGCGAAAATTTTCCAATCCATAGATTTTTTAAAACTTTTTACTGCAGTCAGATAATCAGTTACTTGTCTCAGAAATGTAAAGAAAATTGGGGGTCACCGACTTCGTTTCAGAGATAAAGCGCGTGGAAAACTACCCTGAAAATTAGCGCACGTAATTCAGCTTGGTCTACAGGGGTTTATAACTAAAAATGTCGAAGGTGAGTCAACAAAGGCAAACGATCTTAGTCATATTTTGTAGAAGTGGGTCTGTTGCGTGAATGATTCCAAATGTTACCAACGTTTTCACAAAACTTAACCCTTCAAGAGGCATTTGAAGCCGTGGCACAGTACAGATAAACGAAGAGCTAAAAAGAACGGAATTCGAACGTCCTTAAGGAAACCACGACGACGACGGCAACGAAAACTTCACCAAACAAAAGATTTAATGAGAAAACAATAGCTGTGCACGTGCGTTATAAATCTTTGTACATTTCTTAGCTGTCCTCTGCAAAACAACAACGTGAAATGACCAATTTCTTCGTAGTTTGAGGAACGCGAGCGACGACGGCTAATTTTCCGTATTTCCATTTGGAATTGAACGCTTCCATTGCATATTTAGTCTGAGCACGTTTTTAGAGCCACTGGCGTACTGAACAGATCTAGAGAATTGCGAATTTCGCTGGTAAAATATAAATTCATTTTTCACAAAGCGCTGTCCTCGGCGTCGGCGTCATCGTTGCTTAACCTCCCTAATACGAGGCCTCGAAAACGTGATAAGCGAAACTAAAAATAGATTTTAAAGAGTTATCAAAGACACATAGCATGAACACTTCTGTGAAGTCGACCTTTTCTTGGTTTCATTGATTAACTTAGAAGATCAATAGCTTTGTTAACATCCTGAGGTCAAATGAACGAAGCACAGCATCCTAAGTGAAGATACATCCTAAATATTCTAAGCATGGCTGCACACTGGTGTCGAGGCTGCGTTCCATATCGTACTTTAATAACAATGGACACGTAAGAAACGAAAATAATCAAAAGGACTAACCCAACAAATGAAACCCTTAATCTGACTACCAATAGGCTTTTTTATTCTACAAACACCCATGAAATACCAGTTGATCTTTCGCGCGAAAACATGCTATCTTCACACGTGAAAATTAAATAACATCAGGAGCCATAATCGGGGACGGCCGTAAGCGCGCGCCATTTCTAGTATTGGGGTTGTCCC